ATATAATACGGCTCTTTGGCTGTGGTCTTCTCAGCTAGAATGTTGGGTAAAAGGTAAAATATGTACTCAAACCCACACAAACTGGAAGGAGCAATCCACAACCCCCCTTTTCCTCTTATTTCAAAATGCAGTGCACCACACTGGGTTTGCTAATCGTGGCAGACCTTCCTAAAAATGCCTTATGTTCCCTTCTGCAAACAAATTCAGTGCTTAGAAGATAAGAGTTATAATTGCTCCTGCCTCATTCTCCAGATGTGAGGTAGCGCTATTAGTACATCCTAATTCTTTTAATATGTGTGCTGATGCTGTATGTGATGAGAGCAGTTTCACAGACTACTTCCCAGCGTGGGGGTGGGCATCTCACCTGAGCCACAGAAGCCTTAAGACATGAGACAAGCTCACAGGTGGAGCCCGAGAGATGAAGTCATGGTTTTGCCAGGCACTGCAACCTTTCAAGGAACAGAGCCTGAGTGAGGCATACTCCATGGACCAGAAACTGGGTCCAAATGAGAGTCCCTTTGGCAAATGAAGATCGGAACTGTGGTTAGTGCAGTTCGTCCAGGAATCCAGCCTCATCCTGACCTTCCCACCCTCCTCTACACCAGCCAGGGTTCTGTCATCACAGCGAGCTCTGCATGACTGACAGGACCTGGGGTTATGTGTCTCTGCTTGCCTCTCCGCCATCCCATCTCACTCCTCACCAGTTTCTGGAATCCTCTTATCTCACCAAAGTGAATGCCTTTAGTTTCACTAGAGGCTCAGCATTCTCGCCTCTGGGTCTTTGTATCATCCACACACTCTGCCTCAGACCCTCCAACCAGCACCCCAAAATGAGTTAATAGTTTCCTCGAGGCTTACTCCCAGCTCTTGAGACAGGTTCTCCACAGCAGTCTGCTTGCCTCTCTCCATTCTAGACTTCTCTAAGTGTACGGAAACTTTATTCTTGTGTTCTCCACCTAGACCCAAAGCTCTCCTCGCCCCCCAGGCAAATGTAGATCTGCCCAATATCTGACCCCATGAGCTACACTAAGCTCGAAGTGCTCCCATACTCCTCATTCACAGAAACTGTGAGGCAGTAAGTGAATCACTATGTTCAGAGTGGTTCTCTACAGTAATAAGTAACTAATACACTATTAAAACTAAATGGTTTAAGACAATGACTTATTACACCTCCTTGATCCCATAGTTCCTAACCGGTGAGCTCTTCTTCCTTATGGCATAAATTGAGATCACTTCAGCAACACCTAGCTGATGAGTAGGCTGGAGGGGAGGGTCCAATGTGACTTTACTCATGTGTCTGGCATTCTGTGGGCTAGAAAGTGGCTTCTAGCCCACAGAATGATCAGCAAATGATTATGCATAGTGCCTATACTTAGACTCTCTGGCAAGGCTATCCCATAAGAGATGGAACTGTGTGAAAGTTTACTCCCTCCAGAGCAAGTATCCCAAAAGAATCAGAACAATTTGCATGATCTTCCATGGCCAGGTCTCAGAATTGTTCGAGATTCATTCTGCTGCACACTCTCTCTCAGTGGAAGCAACCAGAATCAGGGAGAAGGAATAGAAGAAGGTCCATTTCTTGAGGGGATAGGTCAAAGAATTTGACTCTAGTTTGTAAAAAAATTAACCTTACTGAAGTATAGTTTCCATACAATAAGACACATACACATCAGTTGGCTTTAACAAAAGCATACACCCTTGTGACAACCACCACAATCAAAATATAAAGAATTGCTTTCATCCTCAAGAGTCCTCACCCTCCCCGCTTCCATGCTCAATCCCCTCACCCACTGTGAGAGTTTGAATGAAAAAATGTCCCTCATAGTCTTGGGCATTTGAAACCTGGTGATTAATCAGGCTGTTTGGGAGGTTTCCAGGGGGTGACCTTGTTAAAGGAAGTACGTCACTGGAGGTGAGACTTACCATTTCAAGTTGGCTTTCTCTGTGGTTCAAGATGTGAGCCCTCAGCTTCCTGTTCCTGCTGCCACCCCACCATCATGGCCTCTAACCCTCTGGACCTGTAAGCCCAAATAAACTTTTCTATCAGCTGCCTTGGTCATGGGCTTCCTTCAAAGCAACAGAAAGGTAACAAATATCCCACCCATCAGTGCTAGGCAACCACTGGTGGGCTTTCAGTCATTTCTAGAATTTCATGTGATAGTTTACACCCTACTTGGATTCTTCACTTAGATAAACACTTCTTAGGATTGTTCATGTGATTGCAAGTATTGATAGTTTAGTTTGCTCCGTTTTCGCTGCTGTGTGGTATTCTATTATGTGGATGTTTATATAGTTACCTGTGGATAAGTATCTGAGTTGTTTCCAGATTTAGGTTATTAGAAATGAAGCAAAGAATGCTTATTTTTATTTTTCCTAAGAAAATATGTAGAAGTGATGTCACCGTTCCATACACTATATGTGTTATTATAAAGGACGACCATATTGCTGCTTTCCAAAATGGTCACAGTGGGGTACTTGTTGGCAAAGTGGTGGATTAGAAGCTAACTCCACATGATGAAGTGAAGTAAAAGAATCTTAGCCCGGGCGGTGGTGGCGCAAATCTTCAATCCCAGCACTCAGGAGGAGGCAGAGGCAATCTGATCTCTGTGAGTTCGATGCCAGCCTGATCTACAGAGTGAGTTTCAGGACAGTCAGGGATACACAGAGAAACCCTGTCTTAAAAAACAAACAACAAAAAAGATTCTTGATAAGAAGACAAGTGGACTCTATTCCAAACGAAGAAACAGAGGAAGAGCTTCGGAACTACAGAGATAGTAATACGATCCCTGAGCCTGCAGAGGAAAAGACAGGCAACATTCCGAAAAATAAGTAAGCCTTGCCCCAACCCCAACCCCCCCCCGCGCCCAGCATCATGTCTGCCTGCTGCCAGAGTGGAAGATCAAGTCCCAGAAAGTATGTTAAAAAAGACAGCCAGGGGCTGGAGAGATGGCTTGTGGTTAAGAGCGCTGGCTGCCCTTGCCGAGGACCCGATTCAACCTCCAGTTTGTAGCTCCAGTTCCGGGAAATCCAATGCCCTCTTCTGGACAATGTGGGCACCCGGCGCGTGAACGTGGTGCACGGACATGCGGGCAGGCCTTCCACATAAAATAAAAATAAATCCTGAGAAGAATGCAACAGCAAATCCACTCGCGGTTCTTAAAAATTTATGTTGTCAAACGAATGTGTGAATTTTTTTTTTAGATGTTTTAAGATGTTGAATAATTGTTCATACAAAACAGGTTCTCTGTGGTCTTGCCAAAAAAACAGCGTGTCTGGCTTTTTCTCCCACACATCTGTGTCCCACCTCAACTTGTACATCTTTCAACATGGCAAGTCTAGCGGAAAAAAAAAAAAATCAAGGTCAAATGAGGAAACTGGGCAAATGGATTTTATCTGGCTTCTCTGACCACCAACTGGCAAACGGCGCTGTTAGAAGAACTGAGCGGAGGGTAAATGAGAGGGTGAAGTATGTTTCTGATCACTGGCCCAGGCTCTCCTGCAAGAAGCTGGCCTAAGGTTTACAGGAAACGCTGAGGGAAGGAGGTCAACAGCACTGGAGGAATACAGACTGATTTCAGAAATTCAAAGACTCCATGTTGGAAGCCCTTGGGGTGGGGGGTAGTAGCTCTTTGTCAGCTACATCCGCGCTCTACTTAATAAGTTGACCGTAACTATACCTGTTGTTGTCAGCTTAGGGAAGAGTGACTAACTAAAATACTTACCAGCCTGGCATGGTGGTGAGGCCTTTAACCCTAGCACTCCAGAGGATGAGAGGCAGGCAGATCTCTGCCAACGCCGGGCCAGCCTGCCCTCCATAGTAAGTTCCAGGCAGGCAGAGCTGTATAGTGAGAGCCTATCTCAGGAAAATAAATGAATAAATAAATAAAATGTCTTTATCAGATACGTAAATCTCAGGAAAATGTGTAACACTGTTGGAACAAAAGGGAAGTTTTAATTATTTCAAGCTATTCATTTTTGGATGGCTTTTGGTGTCTTTTGGATGGTTTTGTTTTTACAACAGGATCTTCCTGTGTAGCCCAGGCTGACCTTAAACTCTTCATCCTCCAGACTCAGCCCTTCAGGGTGATGGGATCACAGGTATGTGTTCCCGTGCCTGCCCTGAATAATTTTTTTTACTGATGAGAACAATCCACTTAACCAACAGCTACTTTTCACGAACTCCTTCAGTTCCCATCCTTCAATAGGTCCCTAATTACCCAGCATTAATTTTTTTTTAATTATAAGCTATGTTTTAATCTATTTTTTAAGTCAATTAGATCACTTGGAAGAGAGTCGAGGAGCCTGGCTTCCGACTTCCCCAGGCCAAAAAAGATAATTCCTGGAATGTAATGAGAGAAAAAGAAAGAGGCAGCTATAGAGACTGGCGTCGGGCTGAGAGAGACTGCCTTGCACAAAAGGAACTTACAATGCAGTGCTGCGGGGGATTGGTTTGGTTTGGTTCCTACCTTGAAAACTGCTTTGTGACTAGATCTACATTGCTTTGTGAAAACAGAGAAGGAAGACAGAACCAGAGACTTCAGTACCTCAAGCTACCCTGTGAGCACTTGCTCCAGGTGTCCGCCATTCTAGCCGGAGTTAAACCTAACCTGACAGAAGCAGACAGAAAAGCCCAGGGAGGAGCCCCCAGCTAGCACCTGCATCACTGCAGCGCTGCCCCGTCCCACACCCCCGGACTTGTGGGGAAATCACGGAGGAATCATTCCTCTGCAGCCACTCGCCCGTGCTCTTCCTCATATGGCCGCCAGGGGGCGCGCGCGAACCGCCGCTGGTGCCTAAACTGGGGTGGGAGAGTAGGGGGAGGACGCCAGTTGCTTTGGAAACCGAGAACGCACCAGCTGCGGGGCGGGGTGTGGGGAGGGGGGAGAAGAGGACTGGAGAGTGCTTTGGGCTGTTTGAACTTGAGTGAGAACCACCAGCCGGGGAGCCCGGGATTCGCACCCGAAAGCGTTGGAGAGGAGGTCGGGAGAAAGCTGACATCCTTGCGGGACCTCTGGCTTCTTCCAGTCTGTCCCCAAAGACTCTCTAGCCACCCTCCCCCACTACACCCGACCCCCACTCCTGTTGGTTTGCAATGACGCGAGATGGGCTTGGGGTCGCGCCCTCTGGTGTTTCCCTCGGGACGTTGTTCCTGGGCGGTTAGGAACTGTTGAGAGCGGTTCTCCTAGGCTAGCTAGCCCCTCTTTCACATTGAAAACAGGGATACCAGCCTGGTTTGGGCCGTCCTAAACTTGAAGGTTTGTAACCTCCAGGGTGTCTTTATGCAGTCGCTAACTCAGTAGATGCTCAGCCCTCTGACACAGAGGGTCCCCCTTTATCCGAGTAGGGGCGGTTTCAGGGATCTGAGGGTGTGACATTGTTCTATTCCAGTATTACTGTTCATCCCTTCTTTGACTAATGTATACTGTTTTGGTTTGGGGATGTAGGTACGGGGCAGGGGCAGGGGCGGGGTGGATGGGGTTAAACAGCATCCCAATCGGTACTATTAGGGATTGGTACCATCCTGAGAATCGGGCAACCCCCTTGATGTCTTAGAATCTTAACCTCGCAGAATAAAGAGGACTGCGGCCATGCTTCCCTTTTGTGTGACAAGTTATCACTCCACAATTTCCTCAAAGCATTTGAGTCTTCTTAATAGTTCTGAAAAGAGATCGGGGGGGGCGGGGTAATGGAGGAAGACATTGGGAGTCAGACAGGGCCAGAAACTGGCCTGAAGTTGAAACACTTAGTGGAGAAACAGGGATCCCACATCACGTCACCTTCCTCCTAGTGTGTTCCCCAGCTGGAGAACACTGAGTAAAGACCTTACACACCCTTGGACCTTTCTCAATGACAGCCCTGATCCAGCACAGCAGGACTGTCCTCCCCGCCCGCACCCCCACCCCACCCCGAGTTCAGTGTGCTTGCATATTAACTCTCACAGGCAATTCATATATTTTAGTTCCTTTCCCTGAGGCTACAACAGCCTTCAAAAGAGAACACATGCTTTCTTCACTTAATGAATGTCCTGGATTTTTATGTCACTGTTCTAGCTTCATTAGGGGAGCAAAAGGTTTATTTCAGCTTACAGGTTACTGTCCATCATAGGGGGAGGTCAAAACCATCATAGGGGGAGGCAAAAACCATGGAGAAAAGTGCTTACTAGCTCACAGGGTTATGCTTAGCTAGTTTTTGTTTGTTTGTTTGTTTTTGGTTTTGTATAGCCCAGAAATACCTGCAAAGAGAATGATACCACCCATAGTGGGCTGGGCCCTCCTACATCAATGAACTAAATAACCCTAAATCACTCCAAGAGACTCCTTCTTGGGTAACTCTAGGTTGTATCAAGTTGACAGTTAACTCCAAGACAAGCACCTTGTCTCCTCAATCTCTTCTTTACCCCATAACCCCCTTCTGATAGGAGCAGAAATGGTGAGGAGATAGGGAAGGATGCCCTGTCCAAGAAAAAAAAAAGAGGAGGAGGAGGAGGAAGAGAGGAGGAGAAAGAGAAGGAGGAGGGGAAGGGATAGGAGGAGGGGAGAGGAGGAGGAAAGGGAAAGATTTATTTCTGTGAAAGCCAAAAAGATTTCGGTAAGTCTGGACATCCACCAGAGTGCATGATGCTTGCTCACAGGTCTCCTTGTGTGAGACTCCAAGCTCTGACCCAGCTTATGCCCTTATGATCACTACCACAAAAGCAGTGCGTGCGTTTCCATCATCCTCATACATTTCTCTTCCTGGTTATGTTTTTATGTTTATGAAATATTCTTTATTCATTTGATAATTCTTTTTCTGTGGTGACATTAAAATCAAGGGACAGGAGGCCCTGGGGGAAAATGTAGTTCTGCTGACTAGAGAAGATAGGATAGTGGGGTTCTCTCCTTTGTTACCAGGAATCCTGAATCAGATCATGCTGAGGTTTGGGATCTAGAAGAATTTGGGAAAATGCATGCTGGGAGGGGAGCTGGGAGCTTGCTTGGCACAGGTGAGGCTCTGAACTTGATTGTCTTCGAGGTAAGAAAGGAAAGAATACATACCACATCAGCCACCAAAAGATACATGATCGTGTTATTCATCTAGATGTTTTACTTGGATCTGAACACATGGTTTTAATGACACTTTTCTAAACTGGATAAACTTGCATTTTCACTATATTTGTAACTATGTACATATAATCTATATGAAAAGAGGTATGGAGAGGTTTTTGTTTTTTGTTTTTTGTTTTTTTAATCCTCAAAGTTCATCCATATGGTAGACGATCATAGGACTTCCTTTTTTTTTTTAAGATTTGTTTATTTATTATGTATACTGTGTTCTGACTACATTCCAGAAGAGGGCAACAGATCAAATTACAGATGGTTGTGAGCCACCATGTGGTTGCTGGGAACCGAACTCTGGAAGAGAAGCCAGTGCTCTTAACTCCAGCCCAGTATGAAGTTTTTTTTAAAGCAATTTTTAGATGATATTACCACTTCTAAGTAATTTGTTGGTTTTTTTTTTTTAATGCTAGAGTGCGTTTATAATTCTGTACAATAAATTCTGATGAGTCAGAATAAACCTTTTGATGTCACTAAGTATTTCTGGCATAAGTGAACATGTGAACTCCAAAAACTTTTGCTAGGTGGGGAGGTGGGGAGGTGGGTAAAATGTTCGCTGTGTGATCATAAGGAGCAGGGTTGAGGTGCCCAGCACCCAGATAAATGTTGGGTAGGCAGGCATGGTGACTTGCCTGTGTTCCCAGTGTCTGGGAGACAGACCCCAGAACACACTGGCTAGCTGACTGGCTGAGTTAGCAAGCTGTAGGCTCAAGTGGGAGAACCTGCCTCAAAATATAAGGCAGAGAGCAACTGGACAAGACACCGCACTGTCAAACTCCAGCCTCCACATGAGTACACATGCACAAACTCCCACACACATGTCTACACACATGCAAACACATGTGCACACCATACATGCAAACCCATGCAAAATGCTAATTTTTTTAAAAGATACTTAAACAATCTTTACAAATTTAGAGCCTACACATTGTTAGCAATGAAGGAAGGTCATTGGTAAAGGAAGTAAACAATGCATGTTTGCAGGCCACTCATTCACATCAGTGTTTGTTGAACATCCAGGGTGTAACCAGCTTATAGGTTAGCATATATTTTTGAATTTCCAAAGACATGGGCTTGCTGAAGCATTGCTTTTCAGCATTAAGTGAACTACAGTTATATGAGTATTATGGATATTTTTAAATGTGTGTATTGCCTTGCAACCAAGGTTATAATGAGTTCTGTGCCTTTCTAATTGCCCTTTGTTTAGCAAGGCTCCCGGAAGGAAGCGCTGCCTTGTTGCTACTGTTACTTCTGCTGTTTTTGAGTTTATATAAGTTTGGAGCAAACTGCTGACTGGGCCAGAACTGTCTCTAAAACAGCCCTCCCCCCTTTAATTAAGGAGATTTGAAAGGGGTGTGCCGTGATGAAATGTACATTTCTATAAGATCATTCTTGTTGGCAAATTCATTGTTGGAAGGGAAAGAGCCAAAGCAGGGGACCAGTAACATTTAGCTGTGGAAATGGAAGGGAGAAGAAACCATGTAAGTAAGTCACAACAATGAAAAAGAAAACCTGTTATTTCTGCTTACCTGTCACTTTCCTTGCAAATTGAATATTATGACAATTGTCATATTTAACTCATATCTTTTAATTACATGTTTTTTCTCCCAGTGGACTCTCACTCAGAACTTTTGTCATTGCTAATAATACTAGGATTTTGAAATGAAATCTTTCATTTCAAATCCATGTTGATGGAAAACTAGCCAGGTAAGATCAGGAGCCGTTTCATAGGTCTAGAAAGGTGTTAGGGCAGAATGATGATGAAAGGAAGTGTGTCTCGAGGTGTTCGGCCCCACCCCTGAGACTTTGCAGACAGGAATATGTTCTGTGTCTATGCATGATTTTACAAAGCCAAAGCATTGTGGGATAGCAGTCCGTTAGAAGATTATCATATGTCTGCTTTTACTACGTAAACTTCATTTTCACTGAGAAGCACTTGGGGGAATGTTGTTTCAAACACTTTCTGACAAGAAAAACAACGGTAACAGAGGAAACCCCAGGCTCAGGAGAGCTCAGAGACCCGAGTCTTTATGAGCCAGGCTATTCAAACTCCACCAGACAAGCAAGAGCGCACATACTTGACTGCATGAGAGGCGTCCCATCCTGGATGACCGTCATGGAGAGCAGCCCTTGAATAACTCCCGTAGTCTCTCTCAGGTGGCTCCTTGTTTTGCATAAGGTCTGCTGCAGTGTGTCTGTCTCCCTGTAACTCTGAGTTTCTAACTTGCTTCTTCTCTGTTGTACACTTTAGGACCAGGTAGCATCCTATCCACAAAACAGGCACTAAATACATGTCCACAGTTACCGAGAACATTAGCTATTCACTTGTCAGGAATTATACTGGACGAAGCCTTCCTGGGGATAACATTCACTTTGTGACTAGTCCTCCTCCCTTTACTGAGGTAGAAATCCTCAAGAAGTCAGCGACTGTTGACGAATATCTCCACTGTTGGCAGGACATCATCAAATGCAAAAGTGCCTTTTGGAGTACTGTCATTAGCAATCCAATTGTCCTGCTAATTTTCTTGAAAGCCCTCAAAGCAATGACAACATGCAGTATGTTTATGCATGAATCATTCCTGCTTTAGTGGCTTGACATTTTCCTTCATATTTTATTAAAATCCTTTGTGGTAAGCTGAAGTTAAATAACGAATTATGTATTCAGAGAGTTAAAAACATAACAACCATGTAACTGAGGTAATTGAACAAGATGAGGTCGTGTTTTCTCCAGCACCAGATGGGGAATGCTGGAGAGGACCACAGCGCTTGATCTTTTCCATATGACTCACAAAGAAAGAGATTAGTCTTGGCGTTTATCTCAACTTTTAAATAAAATATAGTAGAGTAAGAAAAGAATCAAATAGTAAATTACTATTTTAAAATGAAACATTAGCATGCTTTTTGCGTAAAGATAAAAATTCTTATTCTAAAGTAGAAAATAATATAAAAATTCAGTATGGCATTGGAAACAAAGAGAACAGGTTTTTCTTAGCTCATATTTTTTTTTGTGAACCATGTTGGTATAATTTTTGGTGTGGAGCTTACTGAATTGTTGTAAATGATTGCCGTATTTAAGAAGATGAGTGTTGCTCACACTTGTAATCTCATCACCCAAGAGGCTGATGCAGGAGAATTCCCACAGGTTCCAGACTAGCTAAGTCTATAGAGTGAGACCTTGTCTCAAAAGGAAAAGAAACAAAAAAGGACACTATGTTAATAAATCTTTTTTGCTTGGATGTATACTTATCTAGAAAATTCTCAGATACAAAGGAAGTATTGCTGGAAGTCTGGGTCATGAGCAGCAAGTCTATAGAGAAAAGCATGTTTCCATTTTAGAGAGCGGAGATCTAGATGACCCATAAAGATTTACATAGACTGCCAATTTGTGATCCAAGGCATTGGTGAGCCCTGTGGACTGGAATCTAGAGCACACAGACCCCCTTCTGCTGCCCAGTTAGTTGCCTGCAATTTAAAGAAAGACAATGTATATCTGTAACTGAAGAGACACATATGGCTTATTAAGTTTCCTATATGTGAGACACTATGCAAGTACTTTACATATTTGATTATCTAGCTCCCCACAGCCCTTAAAATAAGGTCGCCATCATTCTCAACTGCTGGAGAGATGAGGAATCGGAAGTGCAGAAATAGCAACTTTCTGAAGATCACACAAAAAGGAGGTGACAGGGTCTAGGGTTAAAACATATGTCTGCCTGATGGTTCCACCTGCCGAGCATTTATTCAACGAGAATTGTTGTGTCTGTTGATGGGAGAGAAAGAGTAATCCCCAAGAGTTATCACAGACTCACTGTAAAGAGTCACTTGACAATTCTCATGGTGTCTCCCACCATAGCAAACTACAAATGCATTGATAACAAGGATGGACCCTTGATCTTAGGAGAGCAGTGGAAATTAGATAAAAAAAAAAAAAAATCTTGTAGGGAAATCTATATTCTAAAAAGTGTGCTTTGGTACCTAAGTCAAGCCTGTGAAGTATCCTGCTTCATTCCAACATTGGCCAATAGTGGGTCTTGTTTTCCTTTTTAAAAACATTATCAATAATTTAATTATTTCACATAAAGTGTGAGTGGGGACTGTCTCTGACTCTTTTGCCTGCTTTTGGGACCCTTTTCTTCCTCCTGGGTTGCCTTGTCGAGCCTTAATATGAGGGGAGGTGCCTAGTCTTACTGTAACTTGTTATGTCATGTTTGGTTGATATCCCTGGGAAGCCTGCTGTTTTCTGAAGGGAAATGAAGGAGGAGAGGATCTGGAGGAGAGAAGGGACTGGGAGGAGAGGAGAAAGGGGAAATTGTGGTTAGGGTGTAATATATGAGAGAACAAATAAAGAAAAATATGTTATTAATAATTTAATTATTTCACATAAAGGTAATTTATAGCTTATGAAAAGTTAATGAAGCAGCATCATTATAGTTATTTGCATTTGTAACTCTCTTAGGCATTTAAAAAATTTCAAAGTGTGTTTTTATTTGTGATTTGTAGGACGACAACCCTGGCCAAACACAATTCTTTCAAGTCCTTGCATCTTGATTCTTAAAAAAGAACAAAACCTTCTTTTAAATATATATATATATATATATTTTTTTTTTTTTCCCCAAGACAGGGTTTCTCTGTGTAGCTTTGCACCTTTCCTCAAACTCACTTGGTAGTCCAAACTGGCCTCGAACTCACAGAGATCCGCCTGGCTCTGCCTCCCGAGTGCTGGGATTAAAGGCGTGCGTCACCACCGCCCGGCTTAAATATATTTTTGTATCCTTTGCATATAGTCCATACAATGTGTTTTGATCATATTTTACTCACAACTTCTCCCTAGTCCACCCCTGCCCCCCCACACCTATCCCCCAATTTCAATGTCCTCTCTTTTTTTTCTTATAATCTACTGAGTCCAATTTGTGTGGTCCATATATGCATGCATGTAGAGCCATCACTGGCACATCCCTGAGAGCCTCCCCTAGCAGGCATTAACTGTCCATAGCTCCTCAGCTGGGGTGAGAGGTCATGAGTATCTACACCACCCATGCTAGAATGCTGGCCAGCTTGACCTTTGCAGGCATCCACGTCTACCGTGGTTCCTGCCTTGGGCCTGCCTTGTCCAGAAGACACTATTTTGTCCCAGTTCCCCTGACCCCAGGCTCTTACACTCTTTGAACCCCTTTGTGGGATTTTTTAAAAAATAGACATTTATTGAGCTGCTGCTAAACACAGTGCACATAGCCAAACACTGTGTAGAAATAAAGAGCTCAAGAGACTCAGGCCTTTGGTCATTAGGAAGAACGATGGGCAACGCTGCTTGAGGGTGCTCCAGCCTCGTGGATGGAGCTAGATCTGGGGACAAGAAGCACCTAGGACAGAGTTGCCATCTTAAGCCCCAGTGGTGGTTTTTGAGGGTTGGCACAAGTAGAGCGGCCAAGACGGAGCTGACTCACTTTTCTTATGACTGTTTGCTCTTCAGGTAGATTTCTCAGTGGCCAACCAGAACCATGGACAGCTCGGCAAAAGGAAATAAAAAAGATGCGCAAGATGGACCACCCAAAGATACGAAGCTGCCTACCAGCGAAGCACTTCTGGACTACCAGTAAGTCTATATTCTGAATCTGAAAACTGCCCCATGCCGACAGAGTCCTTGTTAAGACTTAAGTAACTGTGCGTGGGAGTGATGGAGTCGAGCACTGCCGAGAACTTTGAAATGGATTTGAGACCTCACACTGCTGATCTGGGGGCAGATGCCAGGCAGGATCAGGGAAACAGTTCTTCTTGGTGTGCTTTTGATTCCCTTCATGGTAGTGTGTTCTTTGCTACATGAACAGCAGCTTGCTGGCTTACCTCAAAATACACTGTGGAATAGTTAGTGTAAACTGAGAGATGGAGAAGGCATTTCTCTTTATTTGCCTTTCTATTTCTTAGATATTCCAGCTTGTCTTATTTCTAAATAACTACACATCAAATCCAAGCAATTTAAAGATGTGTGTGTGTGTGTGTGTGTGTGTGTGTGTGTGTGTGCGCGCGCGCAAGATGACAACCTTGGCTATCTTTCCTCAGTCACTCACTACCCTGTTTTTTTCTTTTGAGGTGGAATCTCTGACCTTGAACTTGGGACAATCTTCTGCTTCAGTGATAATCTTCCCATCTCAGTCTCTTAAGTTCTGGAATTATAGGCATGCTGTGCATATCTGTATGCTGTGAATGTGTTGCTCTGATTGGTTAATAAAGTGCTGATTGGCGAGTAGCCAGACAGGAAGTATAGGCAGGACAAAGAGAGAGGAGAATTCTGGGAACAGAAAGGCTGAGTCAGGAGATGCTGCCAGCCTCTGCTATGAGAAGTAAGATGTAAAGTACCAGTAAGCCATTAGCCACGTGGCAACTTATAGATTAATAGAAATGGGTTAATTTAAGATGTAAGATCTAGCTAGCAAGAAGCCTGCCAGGGCCATACAGTTTATAAGTAATATAAGTCTCTGTGTGTTCACTTGGGTCTGAGCGGGACTGGAGAAAACTCCAACTACATAGGCATGTGCCACAACTCCTGGCTTAAGAATTATTTTTAATAATGAGAGCACTTCATAATGTCTCACTCCCAGGAGGTGGAGATGTTTTATTTCAACAAATAGCTTCTTGAGAGCTTGTGACTGTCAAGTTTGGCACTGGATAGGTGTTCTAATGTGTAATTTTTAGGGAATTCATGGAAACGTGTTAGTAAATTTCCAAATAAAAATGAAATCATTCATATTTTAATTCAACAACTATTTGTCTATTTCTCATGTATGACAAGTGCTGGGCCCAGAGTACAGCAGTGAGCAGGACCACATGATCCCTGCTGTGATGAAGCATGGCAGAGACATGTAGAGAGGGAGAAAAGGACTTGACCTAGTCAGAGGGTTTGGAAAAACCATGTGAGTTTCTCTCTGGAAGAAGACAGTTGTGGAGAGAATGGAAGAATGTGGCTTATGGAAAAGACACCAGGATGTGAAAAGGCATTCATTTTCAGGAAATGGCAGACTCCAGTGGAGTAAGGGCCAGTGCAAGCAGAACACTGAGATTAGGAAAGGGAACCATTTACTGGAGGGATCTAAGGTTGAAAGTCGGGGTGGGGGGAGGTGGCTGTGATGCTGGTGACTAAGTCTGTACAAAGAAAATTGTCTTATCAATAATCAGGGAAAATTCCTCTTCTCCCACAGAAACTCACATCTGTGTTCTCATTCTGTTTAGAGGCCAGAGAGTAAAGGGTCAGAATTCTAATTCTACCCTGGGAAGAGCTGTTACACCCATTCCTTGAGGTACCCTAGGTAATGACAAGGCATCACCGCACGCATTTCTCATTGTAACTGAGCTCTTTCTTCTCTTTTAAGCAGTGTACAAAAGTTGGGCTCTGTGAGCACAGCCTGGTTCTCACATGCTCTGTGGTCTTGGGATGACATCCAGTTACGGCTCTCTCTTGCTGGGTCAACAGAGGCCAATCTTTTTCCTCTTTCACAGAGGTTTACACAGAGGCCAATGCTAGAAGTGTTTCACGAGCTTGTGATAGACAATACATGACTATTCCCATGCCTGTGTTCTTTGTAATTTGTTAAAAATGAAATAAATAATCCCATGGACTATAACAGCCAAACGCCTGCTGGCTTATGTTCCGCTGATGACCGTTTACTTATTCTGGGTGTTCCCTGTAACAGAACTTTTGTCAGCATCTATGGAAGAACTGCCCGGGCAGCATCTTGTATTTCTCATCCTGCCCCATGTCATCATAAGGCGGTAAGCACACAGTAGATAGTGATTCATGGTTTCTGAGCAGCTGGACTTCAAAAATGTCATCCAAAGAAAGCGAGCCTATGAGATTTTGTGGTTGTGTGTGTAGAAAGGATTCTTAGTGTCTATGCTAAGTCCATGTAGCTGTCAGCTCTGAGTAACGAGTCTGATTTTCTCCTTTATACCTAGTTTTCCTACATCGGGTATAGATACTGACTGAGAAATGGGTGTGTATATAGTTGTAGATTTAAAAAACAGAAAATACAAATAAAGATTTTGAAACCAAAGATTATTTGAATGGGTGGTTTGTGGGTTTGTTTTTATGTGGAGCAGGTAGTTTAAACACTTAGAGCTGAGATGAAGGCAAACACTGGAAAGTGGTTTCCGCTCGGTTCTTCTTCAACAAATTCTGAACACTTAATCTTCTGTCTCTGCAACACCCAGCACAACTGTTACTTAGTGTAAACTCAGCGCTTCTTCCTTGAGTAATAACCACTGTTGAGTCTTATTCGGGTGCAAAAATCACACTCATGAAGTTAAAACTAAGATACCGCTTTGCCTATCAATATAGGAATAGAAATGTGAAGTGCTCAACTGAGTGTTGAAATGCCTGCCACGAACCAGGTGATTTCTCACCCATTGGTGAGCATACACAGGAAAAGCAGAGGGTACCTACCACAGTCCTGGATCAGGCAGTCCCATGCACACAGGAACTCTGTCACAAAATGACGATAGGGCCCTAGCTTCCCTGGAATGTGACTTTTTGAAGAGCAGATACTGAAGATGCCAAGAAGTGATGGTTTCTAGTGATAGTTTTTATTTCCTCCCTTACACTTTTTCCTTGGCTTTCTACAATGAAAGTAGCTGAATAGGTTTGGGTATGGTTATATGATTATGAATTTTAAAAATATATAGAAAAGTATAGAACATTTTGAAATTCTGATTTGATATTTTAATAAAATGATGTTTCAAACTCTTCATTTTGACACACTAATTTTTAAATACACCCTGGATGAAATATAGAATAAAACTACTTGTACTTTAAAAATGTATGTTTCTTAGGACTGGAGAGATGACT